GGCGGAGGTAGCGGTCCATCAGTTAATAGACGAGTAAATTGTTACAGAGGACAACAAGCGAATACGATCGTGGATCGAGAGAACACGAGAGCAGGAACGACACGCTTTACTCGTCTATTAATAGCAGTACATGGGCTGAAAAACAAAAGGAACGACGTGGTTAACAGCGTACAGAAACAGAACGAATAACAAACACGACAAGTGGTTTGCCTGTAAATAAAGTGTAGGTCTTAAGGTCTCGTCAGCCTCAATTTGGGGGCCTTCAACGTGAGTGGGTTAACAAGCGTATCTTGCGCGTACAATGAATTCTTTAGAGATTGATGTCTGTTGTATTTCGGAGACACGAATTCAGGATCCTAGTATCGTAAACCGCCCCAGAGCACCGGGTCTGTCATCGAGGTATTTCCTTCGTACATCAGAAGACAGTGAAGCCCGCTCACTGGGTCAGCTTGATATAGGGATCGTAATAAACGATAAAGCTGAAGCTCCACTGGCAGATTGGATACCCGTTACTAGTCGTTTATGCGCAAAGAGACTCCAGGGTTCAGTTAATGTTCGGAAGTGCAGCAACGCCAAGAGGTGTTTATTCACCATTTCCTCATATGCACCAACCAACTGTAGTTTCACTTCATAAAAGGACGAATTTCACGACAACCTCATCAAACTCATTCGATTGAACCGCAGCTCTGATTTTATGGTGCTGGCAGGTGATTTTGATGCGGAGGTTGGAAAACTGAACGCATCCGAACCATGTATAGGAGGGCGTTTCGCTCTCCGCGCTCAGCGAACATACAACGGTGATTGACTACTTCAGTTCTGTGCACTCATCGGTTGTGCTTACCTAGCACCAACTTTCGCCACTGCCCTCGTCGAACGACTACATGGTGTTCTAGTTCAACAGGGAAGTTAACCCAAATGGACCACAGCTGTGAGCTACCGTTGGCATGATCCAGTACAAAATTGCAGATCCTCTTGGACCACCTGCGTTGGGTCGGATCAGGCACTAGCTCTGTTACGTTTCACTCTTCGATTCATCGGTCAGGGAATAGTCAAAGACTATTTCACCTGATACGCAGCACCGGAGGTCGTCGCATGCCGGTCAGTGAGATCATTTGCGATAAAAGTGAACAAAGCATCCACAATAAAGAACAACGACTTGATCGCTGGGCAGAGTACTTTAGTGAACAGTTCAATTGGCCTAGTGCTAATGTGGTCATTCCGGCAATTGCGGCGGAAATCCCATGTGAGCCCCCATCAGAATTGGAAGTACGAATCTGCATTCAATCATTAAAGAAAAGGAAGGCAACCGGACCTGATTGGCTTCTCTCTATTTTTTAAGGTGGACAGTGATTTCCTTGTTGACTCGATTATTAACTTACTTCGCAGCATTTCATCGGAGGAGCGTATCCCTTTGTCCTGGGGTGAATCGTTGATCGTCCCGATCTTCAAGAGTCTCTCGGGCTCCGAAATGGCCATTCGTCCCGAACTCCTAGAAATTCACCCAAACGACCAAGCACCTCAAATAGCTTCTGCTGAGGAAGTTCTACCCGCTGCCTTCTCGTGGTGGAGGTGTTAACACTAAAGTGGGAGGGCGAAGGCGAATGCTCGTCGCTTCCCATCAAGTTGACTGACCACCGGTAGTCAGTCTAGGNTAGGGGATTTGAATAAACCCTGATTCCAAACCACTCACACCTGGCGTAAGGAGCTCATAGTGGCACCAACCTTCGGCGCAACCGAACCGGTCTGCAAAGTTAATCTTTGGAGTTGACCACCGTGATACTTACCGGCAAGCGCGCGGCTCAAGGGCAATCTGGGTACCGTGGATAGTTGGTCGTATCCGAAAGGCGTACGAACTGGTCCCGCAGTCACCGGACTCCCTACTCCACCCCACTGCCTTGTGAGCTAGGTTCTTTAACCAAAGGGGTAGGGCCCCCCACGAAAACCCCCTACCTCGGCCTGGGCAGAATACAGAATATTACACTTCTGTAAAGCTTTCTCCTAAAACCTTCACGCAACACTACCCGCCCCCCACACAATACCCCCATTTCCCCCTTTTGTCCCACCCCGAACGGTTCCACTGACGTAAGTTCATGTTGTAGCTCGCCCCTATCCTCCTTGACATCCGCCTCAGAACCGACTGTTCCATTCCGCCGACCTCACTCTGCATTCAAACTGGCTTCGTTCAACGTTAGAACTCTCTCAGGTTTGACTCGTAGGCTCGAAAGTCTCGAGATTGATGTGTGTTGCCTCTCGAAAACACGCATCCAGGATCCGAATAACGTCTCCTTCCAATCCAAACACAAGCGTTTCCACTGCGCGTCTCGGGGAGTCCTATCGCTTCAGCGTCTGGTCAAGCACCACGGCCGAGGCTGGTCTATTGGATTGGATCCCGATAGATAGCCGACTATGTGCAGTGAGACTCAGAGGCTCAAGTAAGGTCAACGAGCAGAAACCAAATGAACGATGCTTATTTGTGGTTTTTGCATACGCTCCCATAGACTGTAGCCGGGATATAGTCAAGGACGCCTTCTATCACAACCTACATGAGTTTCTTCTCAAGGCACCTAAGACGGATATTGTGATCCTGGCCGGAGACATAAATGCACGCATTGGTCGTCTGTCACCCGATGAGACCCACCTTGGTGACCGCCATGGCCTTGATAGCTGTCGTTAGATAATCGGGACAGACTTCTTAGCATATGCCCAGAACACGCTCTGTTGCTCGTTAGCAAGAACTTCACCCACTCTAAGCGTCACCTCGCCACCTGGTGTAACCCCTCTTCGGCATAGTCGTGAAACCAGACTGATCATATAGCTATTAGCTATAGATGGAGAGGATGCGTGAAAGACTGCCGTTCGTATTGGTCTACCTGCTTGAACTCCGACCAATCACTGGTTTGTGCCAGGTTGTCTATGCGATTTGGTGGCCGGAAGAAGATGCGATGCAAACGGCTTGACGTCGTCAAGCTTTCTGACCCGACCGTACTAGCCAATTACCAAGGCTAACTACTACTCCACCAAGTGGCGTAGATCAACAGTGGATAACCATTCGAAACGCAATACACTCAGCCGGTTTACGCAGTTGTGGCCTAACCCGCCGAGTTGTAAATCACCGGGTCTCCTCCAACTCTCTCAGACTCCTCGACGCGCTTCGGGCAATCCTGGAAGACCGCGAGTACAACGAACAGCGCCTCTCTCTCAAAGAGTTTGAGAGACGACTGTATATTTCACACACGTCTGATGCCAGACTGTGTGCCAAACAAATCGTGGTACAATCATCTTTATAAAAAGAAAACCTTCCACGATTTGCCGAATAATGCCAGGTTGCCCAGGCCAAGGCAGGTGAATTTTCTTGAGGAATCCACAACCGTAGACTTTGGCTAGCCAAAACCTGACCCCCAAGGCAGCGGGGTGGTGTGCGAAAACCTCACGTTGTAGTAACCGTAATTCATGAAGGCCACATTTTGTCCCATTCTCATGTCAAGTGAACGAAATTACTCAAGCGTGATTTATGTTAACAATGAAGTCAGATTTGTTCATCCGATACGGTCATTCTAGAGCGGGACAAAGTGGTAGTTGGACGTGTGCAAGATGGAAGAAATACACTGAGTTCATGGTTCACAGAACAGTTGACTGGCCGTCGAGAGGTAAGCATCAAACACGGAACCAAGTTCTCCGATGCTTCTTATCGCTGTGAATCAGGTAACTGACTGCCAAAATTCACACTAAACAAACACGATTGAGTGATAAGGTCATGATGGACATGTTTGAGCAAATGGCTGCTATAGTTTTCGGAAATAAATCGTATCACTTTGCAAACTTACCGTCTTGGGCGGATTTGCCATTATTTTGTAATTTTGTCGAAGGCGTATGTTTTCTGGAGGAGTCTTATCTACACTTGGGGTCATTCTTAAGCCAACTCTAGCAGTAAATAACCGTTTTGAGGCCTCGAAATTCCGACAAGTGTCATTCTCATGATAGTTTTTCCAAGTTTGAGTTGATACACTAATTTTTCATTATGCCTTGATTCAGTCCTTCGAAACTTAAATCGAGCGCACGGTAACATGTCAATTTGAATGGGTTTCAGTAGACACCACAGACAAACAGCCTTGCCATTAATGGAGTCAAATTAATCCCAAGGAATGATGCACACGAAAAATACAAACCACACGTTTAGGTGTCTCCTTGTTTGTGTTTTTAATGCAAGAAACGCTTCCCTCTTACTCTTTGTCGAGTAACTCCCAAGCTGAATATATTTCTGTATCGAATGTAACTGTAGACATGCTCATGGAAACGGATCCCTTCCACCATCATACAAAATTTGGTTTGCCGAATTTGAGGCTTTTATCACGTTATCCCATGCTAATTAATTAATTAACATTCACCGTTTTATATTCCGTTTTTCTTCTGAACCACAATGACTGTTGCATCCTGGGCAGCGGTCGTTTTTGTCAATCAATCGAAGCCTCCGAACGTTGTCATGTGGTGTATGTTAGGAGGCAACAGTAGTACTTTTTCCACCCCGCACAATATCATACTTAACATGTTGGGCCCGAGATGAATCAGCATTGCAACCGGTATTCCCCTGTGGTTTCTGGCGTTAGTGTAGACTGAGATATGTGGACCTCAGGTTTGTTCACACTACGACAACAAGGGACAGATCGGGTGGGGAGGAACGAAGGAAGAATGTTTCGTTGCCCTTGAAGATCCCTTAGTCTTATTGTACCTGGTTGGTAAACGTTTCTATGACGATCACAACAAACGGGGTAACCAGCACTACAGAATTGGTCATCTTCCGTGTTCGCTAAATGCGGAACCCTGGATAACCAAACCAGCTGAAGCCACTGGTATGTGAACAAACAATGGAGTTGGTAATGTATAAAACCTCAGCCACCCATACTGAAAAACTAGGAAGCTTTGTATACAGTGATTAAGATACATTTACCCTTTCTAGTCCATATGAAATAAAAAATGAAAACAACAAATATTTTGAGTATTTGGGGTAAAGACAATTTTATCGACGGTTCAACCACCAGTATTTTGTTGATTAATAATGAGCCAATTACTTGCCCGAAAGGACAGTAAACATCTCGTGTTATGTTGCAGAATTTGTGATCAACATTGGAGAACCATTCAAAATGCAATGCACTCAGCCGGTTAACACAGTTGTGGCTTAATCCCCCGAGTTGTAAATCTCTGGGTATCCTCCAGCTGTTTCAGACTACTTAACGCGCGTCGGGTAATCCCGACAGACCGCAAAAACGATCAACAGCGTCTCTCCCTGAAGCGTGAACTCACAAAGAGTTTGAGAGACGACTGAGAGGCCTGATGGACGCTACGTGCAAAGGAGACGGAATCAGTGGCTAGGTGTAGAAACACTCGGCAACTATTCCAGCCGTGCTACAGGCTCCAAAAGACAGTGCGTTAATGAAAAAATCTGCGAAACAGACTACACGCTATTAAACAGCCTTCACCGACGCTTGGAACGATGGGCAGAGCACTTCACATCGCAGTTCAATTAACCCCTCGCACTGGCTGCTACAATCAGTTCTCTTGAGAGTGCACCCTGGTCCCTATCCACGGGACCGCCCACAGAAGCGGAGATCTGATCTAAGTCCTGAAACGCCACAAGGCAGCTGGATCAGACGGCCTGCCACCTGCACTCATTAAAGATGGTGGAGAGGCTCTCGTAAGAGAACTTGTGAGATTGTTCTCGAAGATCTGGAAAACTGCAAGTGTACCCCACACCTGGGGTGAATCGATTGTCACACCCATCTACAAGAAGGGCTGTCGCAACGCCTGTTCCAACCACAGGGGCATGATTCTGATTCCAATAGCG